GCAAATTTTACCCCTACCGAAACCAAAGATGTATTCACATCAAAAAAATTTAAAACTTACTTCCGCGAAAAATGTTACGTTAGTGGGCGCATGGGGTCAGCACTCAAGCAAGTAGCGACACATGTGTACACGACGATGTTCTAACCGTAACTAAATAAATAACTAAAGCTTTATATTATAGTTAACTTTAAGAAAGAAAAGCATAACTTTGACTTCAAACTTAGATACTGTTAAGTAAAGGGGATTTTTGTAGTTCAAGAGGCGACACTAACTCTATTTGGTTGTTTTCATTTATGCTTATTCGTAAGAGAGTACAAACTGTTGAAATAAACCTACAATAAATCAGATCATTGCAAACGATTGAAGTGAACGCATCGTAATTTTATTCCATCGACTGGACTCGAAACCGCCCACAACAACAAATTCCGTAACAAGGCAATTATTGAATTGTTCGCTCCGTCATAAAAACGCTTGTGACTTAACATTTTGGCGCCCAACGTGGGGCACTTTCGAGTTTTGTATAATTTACTACCATCGGTTGTGCCGAATTTCGAGAAATTACGGGAAGTCCACAATCTGTCGTCGCGTAATATCGTATAATTTAGCTGTTACTTGGCGGACTACCTGTTTTCGACTTGCATCGCAGTCGCAGTTACGTCATTTGCTTCACCGCCTTACATTGGTATAGCTCATTTTTCTACCTAGTTCGCAAAGGCATTGGGTCTTTCAACTCATTGGTGGCTGGAGTTGTTGTCGTCGCTCAATATCGTATGATTTAGCTGTTTAGAGGTCACCTTGGACTCTTCGGTTAAAACATCACCGACCTCTAACTATCATTGAACATTGACTTTTTAGCTCAGAGTCATTGCAATTAGTGATACCATGTCACTTGCCGAGCATCTATCCCAACGAAATATAATTGTCAAAGCGATTGAGCGAATCAAGACCGACATTGAAGCACATAGTCGAGGAGAAGGGAGAGTACTGTCCTCCATAGAATTGAAATGTCGTCTCGACGTGCTTGATAATTATTATCAGCAAGCTCTTCAGCTTCAAACCTCGGTTGAAAGGTTCGACATTGAAGATGACACACGAAGTACCATCGATTCCTTGTACATCACTATTAAAACTTCAATTTTGACTCAAACCAGCATGGATTCCGGCCTGTCACATAATTCGACATTAGCAGATAATTCTGTGATTGTCGCTACACCAAAACTGCCAAAGCTGAAACTACCATCGTTTTCCGGAAAAAATTCGGAGTACAAAAATTTTATTGCATCATTCTCGCAAATTATCGACAGAAAACAGGGTCTTAGTAATATCGAGAAATTCAACCATTTGCTCAACTGCCTTAAGGGGCAAGCCCTCGAAACGGTTCAAGCATTTCCCGTGACGAATGAAAACTACCGTAAGGCACTAGAGCGACTCAAATTACGATACTATAATGACTCATTGATTTTCTTGGAAAATATTAATATGCTTTTCGATATGCAACCACTGAGTTACCCAAATGCGACACAGTTGCGTAGCATTGTAGATAAAGTATCGGCGTTGTTCGGATCTTTATCTTCGCTTGGCACCGATAAAGAGATTGCTAACGCCATGCTGATTCATTTGGTGATTACCAAAATTGACGAGGAATCTCGAAAAAAAATGGAAAGAGTCAGCTGACCTTTCAAAACTGCCGCTTTGGTCCGATTGTTCAAAGGTTTTAGAACGACGGTGTCAATATTTAGAGTCACTCCCACCGAAATCTCATTACTCAAGTGCAAAGTCTCAGCGGCGTAAATTAGGCAGTCAGCCAGCTAATAATAACTACTCTTTTTCGTGCACGAAAAACATATGTCACTTATGCTCTAGTTCGGATCACACACTTCTCCACTGCTCTCGTTTCAGATCAATGGATGTAGCTGAAAGATTTGAACATGTCAAGCGATTGGGGCTATGCATCAACTGCATGTCCAATAAACATCAGCTCGCTCGCTGTTCGTCTACGCATAATTGTAAAGTTTGCGGGAAGAAGAATCACAGTCTCCTGCATCGTGTTACTACAACGATCACGTCAAAAAATGATTTTACCGGCGCTGATACTACGGCCGCTACACATACGCACATGGAAAAATCGCCAAAGGATCAAGTCATCCTTGCCACCGCACTTGTACTTGTCAAAGATGCGTCAGGGTCATATCAGGTTGGTCGAGCTTTATTGGACTCATGCTCACAATTGAACTTCGTAAGTACCGAATTCTCACAGCGGCTTCGTTTACGTCGTCAACGGTAGTCAGTCGAGATTCTAAGCATAGGCAATGTCCAGTCTTCAACGAGTTACAAAACAGTCACTACAATTAAGTCCCAACATACAAATTTTGAAGCTGCGTGACTTTTTGCATTACATCCAGTATTTCGTACCAGCCGGAGTCGGAGATCGACATTCCGAATGGAATCTACCAGCCAATAGCAAACTTGCAGATGAGCAATTCTTCAGAACAAGTAGGATAGACTTGCTTATTGGAGCCGAAGTATTCTTCGATATTTTGTCAGTCGGACAAATCAAGTTGGGCGATGACATGCCAGTTGTCCAAAAAACTTTGCTCGGGTGGATCGTGACCGGTAAATACAAGGAACGACCATCAAAGCATGTCTTGTCATCACCGCGTACGTGCCTTCTGTCAATGGAGGAAGTACTCAACGAAAATTTAGAAAAATTGTGGAAAATGGACGAAGTCGAACGGCATGCCAGCAAGTGGTCGAACGAGCATATGGATTGTGAGAACGCGTACATTAGCACTGTAAGACGCAACGCTGACGGTAGAATTGTAGTGCGGTTGCCGCTTAAAGAGGATTCCGGCAGGCTTGGTTTGTCACATGCTACGGCACTCAAACGGTTTATAGCTCAGGAACGACGGCTTAGGCATCAGCCTGATCTGAAATTACAGTACGTGAGCTTTATGCCTGAGTACGAAAGCCTTGGACATATGTCGGTAGTAAAGAATCCTAATTATAATGCACCGCATTACCACATTCCTCACCATTGTATTTGAAGCCTTCTAGTACTACAACAAAGTTGCGCGTTGTGTTCGATGCGTCTTGCCATACAACGTCGCTCAAATCATTAAACGACCTAATGTTTGTTGGTCCAACAATGCAGACCGAATTGTTTCTACTTCTACTACGATTTCGATTGTATCGCTATGCCTTGACTGCGGATATAATAAAAATGTATCGACAAGTTCTAGTCGATCCACAAGATCGCTGCCTGCAGTACATAGTGTGGAGAAACAGCCAAGAGGAGGAAATTCGTACGTACGAATTAAACACTGTCACGTATGGTACTGCTGCTGCGCCGTTTCTGGCCATACGTAGCCTTAATTTCATTGCCGACGAATACGCAGATGAATTTCCGGTTGGAGCCAAGGTGGTTAAGTCGTCATTTTATGTGGACGATCTGTTATGCGGATCCGACTCATTCGCTGAACTTAAACAAATTCAGTTCGAAGTGTCGCAAGTTTTAGAAAAAGGTTGCTTCGAGCTTGCAAAGTGGCACTCGAACTGTGCTACCTTTCGTGACGATTCTACTTTGAAAAATCTTAGCTTTGATGAAACAGCAGTCACAAATGCTCTCGGCATCACTTGGGATCAAAGTAACGACACGTTCTTGTTCTCATTTCAGCCCAAAAATAAGTCTACTAAGGTAACCAAACGAATCGTGTTATCCATCGCTTCGTCTTTATTCGATCCACTTGGATTGTTAGCGCCCATAATCGTCATCGCAAAGATTATCCTCCAGGAAATCTGGCTCCTGAAACTGGACTGGGATGAGAGTCTTCCTCAAAATTTACACTTGGCATGGTCCAACCTAGCTGCAGAACTTCGAACAGTTTCTTGCATATCCGTACCAAGATATTGCAAACTGTACAAAGCAACATCGATTGAACTTCACGGCTTTTGCGACTCGTCCATACGTGCATATGGGTGCTGTTTCTACGTTCGTACTGCAACCAA